AATATGGAGAAAAAAATACTGGAGAAGAAAAAGACAGAAAGGAGGAGTCCCAGGAAGTAGTCTTTTGAAGTCTTTAGTTGAATATTAGACAGTACTTGTGTAAATTGAGAGCCAAGAGACCAGTCACAAAAGAAAGACTATGACAGTAAGGGTCTATATTTGTTTCCTAGAGAATTCTACCATCGAGTATCACTACTTGGGTAGATTGTCAGAACAAAGTATATTTTCTCACAGTTCTAGAGTAGCAATGGGGCTACCTTCTTTCTCTCTGAAGATTTTATGGGATATGCTTCTTGTTTCTGCAGGCTGCTAGTTGTACCAAATGTTCATGGACTTGCAGATAATTCTATTGCTGACTTACCACTTTTCTTTTGCCTAGCTCTCAGTATTTCTTCAGATTCTATTATGACCTACTCTATTCTGGTATGGATTCATGATCATGGAATTGGTATTTTCAAAGTTCCTATTAATAAAGTAAAAGTCAAAATAGTGAAAAAAAAAAATTGACCCAGATGATGTCATCAGCAGAAAGGACATTGAAACAGTTCTTTTAAAAGTACAAATACATCTCAGGATTTTTTAAGAAATAAAGATAATGAAGAAAGATACTCCAGATTTTTTTTTAAAAAAAGACAAAACTACTAAAGATGAAAAATGCAATGTTCTGAAAGTAAGGATCCACTAGATGAAATGAACAGGATCTTTAAGTGCCCCTTCACTCATTGTTGTAGAGTCACAACTCAATTATAGCTGTCCCTCCAGTACATTTTTACCATTTTTAACAGTGTTTAATCTCTCTCAATAGTAGATTAAATATTATAAAAATAAAAGAGATACACCTGAAGATGTTGTTGTTATTGTTGTTGTGTGCCTTCAACCCATAGCTGACTCTCTGGTGGGTTTTCAGAGGCAGTTGTCCATCACAAGGTGCAGCTGAAAGCCTCAAATCTCATGCTTTCAGGATTGCAGTGCAGCTTCATACTATTAGGCTACCAGAGTTCCCTGTATTTTGAAGATAAAGAAATAGAATATTTTTTTATAGAAAAACAAATGAGAGAACAAATATACCAGAGATCAGTGATACAAAAGATAACATTTTAATATGCAAGTATGTAAAATTTCTGAAAGACATGAGGCATGAGAGGAAAGAAAAATATTATTAAAATGTGGGTTTAAATTGTTCTAATTGAATTAAAACAAAACCTTCTACGATTCAACCAGTGAAGGATTCATAAATTGTAAACGAAGGTGAAAATATCATGAAAGTACATTAAATAAAATGGTTAAAATATATGATAACAAGAAAAGTTTTTAAAACTACTGGGAAAGAGATACATAAACTACAGGAAAAAACTGACAGCAATTTCAGTCTTTTGCAAAAAAATAATTTAATATTGTGGTAATAATGCCCAAATTACTGGTTTAAAAAGAATTTTTCAGATAAGTATCTGAAAAATTGAACTTCAGCAGATATACTGTGAAGACACATTTTAAAATTATAAAAAGAAATAAGATAGTATTGAAAGAAAACACATATCTCTACCGATAAACATAGTGTCCAGTATGATGAACATAAAAACACTTTTTTCTCATTTAAATTTATATTTTAAAGATGATCATTTTAGGCAGAAATAATGATTCTGAGGCTTAAGCAGAAACAAAAGTAGAATGTATGAAAATAAAATAATGGGTAGGAAGAATAATCTGGAACTCTATTATTGCGCTATTCTTTAAAGTGGGGTAAAAATATTATTTTGTTAAGGTTTTGTAGTGGAGTGCATTTGGGGGTGGGAAGGCAGGGTTGGGTTGCGGGATTGTATACCAACAAAGAAGTTTATCTTTTGCTTTCCAAAAAAGGAGGGAACTGGGGGGAAGGGTTAGCGAAAAAAGTGCAACAATGAATGAATG